ATATATATTTATATATATTTCTATCATACATCAAAGTATATATGAATCCCATCATTTCTGTTCTATTTTCTGCAGACATGGTCTGAAACAAAATCACCAACAACTAAATCAAAAGCTTCCTGGTTATCGTAGGAAAGCCAAAGAGGACCTTTCCTCTTTTTTTTCTGTTTCAGTACTAGTATTTCTTGAACTTGTAAGGATTCTTCATAAACTAGAGGTCCATAGATCATTTAAAGCAGTCTTTATAAGCAAATTTACATACTTTGACATGCTTTTGTGAGGCAGTTAGTATCAAAATCCAATAGCATTTCTTACAGAACCATATGACTTTCTGCGATGCAGATACACATTTCATTTCTAAAAAGCCACAGTTCTTTTTCTACATCTGCTCTCATCAAATCCCCAGGATTCATTCATAAAACTGCTGCTGCTCCAAATGCTGATGCTGTTATCCCTGCTGTGAATTAAGATGTACACCCAATCTGGTGACGTCTTTGCATGGAAGATTGATAAGTAGGAAAATACCCTCCCCAAATCAACAGATAGTCTTTTCTATCTCAAAATCTTCATGATTCTTGTCACCCAACAGGGTAACACGACGAAGTCGCGTCTGTGCAGGCTAAGGGTCTTCTTCCATCAAAGGAATCTCTAGGGGAAAAAAAGAAATAGCATTGATTGCTGATTGTAACTTCCCTTTATACTTTTGCAGAGTATCAGTTTTAGCAATTCTACAAAAATAGAAACGGACATTGCGAAAATCTGAAAAAGACATGGTATTGCCAATTTTAGACCCACTCATTCTCTAACACCTATATGAAAAGCAACATACTAAAACCACCCAGATTTTCTAAAACAAGTTAGGCCCACAAAAACCCAAATGCAAACATCCATTTTACTACATTAATCACTGAAACAGCATTCAGAGTATGTTACTGGCTTTTTTACGGGCTTTTACTGGCATGTCATAATTTCTCCCTCCTCCTTCTAGCTGTCCCCTTCCCTAGTTAGGCCCAACCCTATGAAGGAGGAAGACTTCCTCCACCCAGACCTTCACCCACATTGAATTTAGGACACAGAGGTACATCTTTTTGCCTAGTCACTCTTGGTGACTGCGGAAAGCAGGATCGGAGCCACTCCTTCCAAATGTCTCCAAGGAAAGCTATCTAGTTTCCTTAAGATGCTGAGCAGCACTCCATACAGCTTCATTAGAACTCAATGAAATTATATCAATGCATAAACGTGTTCAATTTAAATGCAGACAGTAATATATGGCAATCATCTCCCTTCTCATACATGGTCCTGTGGGTATGCTCCCCGTATGCTATGACTCCCGTGTCCATGGCTTAATGCGTACATGCCTCAGGCTGAACAGTTTGCTGTATGCACAGACATGATGAGTTTGTTAATAAAGGCTGCTAATTTTGTCTGAGCCTGAAAACATGATTTGCTTTCCATTTTAAGGAGAAAATCTTGTTCTTTGCTGTGAAAACCATGGCATGTGAGGGAGTCGTGAGTGTAGGAGTCGAGGAGCAGATGAACAGACCAACACAGGCAAGATGATGGCTGCCTTTGCTGCTGTTCACAGGTGCTTGCTGTCATCCCTGTTGATGAGAGTGCTGTTACATGGTCTGAATAGGAACCTTCTGGCCTGGAATTCAAATCCCTTGTACCACAGCTAGCAAGGACATACTGCAGACATGAAGCTCTATGACCATGGAGTAGTATGGTTTGAAAAAATGTCCAAATTAAGATGTGGACAAAAACAGGGACAAAGTATGACCAAGTCATCTGGGTTTATTCCTGCTCTGACAGTAGGCACAAATGATGGCTCCTGTTTATGGACTCACCTATTGCATCTATGCAAGACTCACCATCTGCAATATCGATCCGTGGACTCGTGGATGCGGCGTCCCCGGCAGCGCTGTGGGATACATCAGTTCGATCTGAACCAGGAAGCGCTGCCGCTTGGCATGCCGGGGACGGATGCAAACTTTGGAGCAGTTCAGAGGAGCCCGACCTACTGTCACAGGTCTCAAATTCGCTAGGCAGAGTGTCTGTAATCCCGGGGCCGGGGTAAGCGGGAGGATTCTGATCTTCTGTCTGCAAAATATGCCCCTGGTCTGTGGTAGCTGAGTATCCGGGTGCCAGAGCATTCAAGCCACTGCTTACAGCTTCATCGTAGGAAGGCAGCATGACGGGAATGCCATCCACCACCACAAAGTCGGGGTCACCCATGGAGCCCTCCTGGTTGCCTCTATGTCAAACACAGACGAGTTATCACAGAGAGCAGGAGCATGTCAGAAGCACCTCGGAGCAACCGCTGAACTTAAGTAAACACAGAACTTTCTAGTCATGCAAAATGAAGCTACAGGGTCATTAACATTCACAGAAATGTTTGCTTCACAGGTTTGCAAAACTCTGTTCAGGTTGACAGTCAGGTGGAATCTGTTGCAGATGTTTCAGAAAAATGAAACCAGTAATATGAAGAACAATTTTGAGAAGGGAAAGAAAACAGGTGTTTGGAAGAGATAAGGAGCATCATTTGCTGTGCACAGTAGGTATCATGGATATAAGATCACAGATATAGTTCACCAGTCAAAAGTGCTGGAACCCCTGGAAAGATGTGTGCTAGAGCACAAAAGTGTTTACAGCCCACTGAGATGACTACTACTGCATGACAGGGCTTTGGTGGCCAGATTTGTGGCCTCCTTCAGGTCTTACTTTCAAAGGATGAAGGCTTCCAGTACTAAGCTGGTTTATTTTTTACGCAAAACATTTCTATTAATTAGGAAGGTCTGTTAAACCCTAAATCTGTACTAATCTGTTTAGAAGCCAATCAAATCACAGTATAGTCTTAGCAGAAGGGAATTGGTCCCAGGTACCTTTAGGAAATTAAAATATCTGAAAAGGAGAGGACAGAAAGCCATTTCAATAAGCTAGACAAGTACAGGCTGTAGTGCAACCCATTACCCCAGAGATCTTCCTAGTTGCATATGTATATGTATATGTATATGTATATGTATATGTATATGTATATGTATATGTATATGTACATGTATACATACATGTATACTACTCTCCATAAACTGTATATAGGCACATATATACATGTATATAAATTTACACATTATTTATAAAATCTGTATACTTTCATGTACACGTATTTATTTAACATTAAGATCAAAAAGTCATTTTTGCTGCATTGGCATAGGGACATATTTACTGACATACAGCTTTTTCACCTCTCCTTTCTGCAGGTGGTAGAATAATGACATGAGAAAAAGTAAGTGCAGGAGAGGAGAATTCACACGGTCAAGGTCCACAGCAAACTGAGTAGATTAAAAACTAGTAAGAAGTCTAAACCCCAATACAGCTTTGCCTAAAACTCAGCATGCCTGCCTTTGTTTTTCCAGTTGTAAGGTGACAATAATAATACCCATCTACCTGTCTCATGAGGATCGCTGTGAGAATCAATGAGAAATGCTCATAGCTGCACGGTATTTTATGGAAATAAAGGAAGATATAGGAGATGTTTATGAATTGTGATGATAATAATAATCATGAAGCGAAAGCAAACTTTTACTATAAATTTGTCCATAGAGAAAAAAGAAATTATTTCTTTACATTACTAAGTCTACAGTAGTTAAAAAATTAATTCCCCTAGCACCTGAAAATGAGTATTTAAAAATATTGTCAGCTATTTTTACACGCAGAAGCAGCAATTCTCAGTAGCAGAGCGGTAATTACTCCCAAAGCAAATATGGCAAACTTTGCCTATTATCATCGTTGCAGAAAGGACTACTGCAGGTTTTTGGGGGTGCCCTTCCACACCTCAGAGCAGCAGCAGAAGGTCTCTGCAAGGACTGCTGAATGTGAAAACTGAATCAAAGCCCTCAATCTTCAAAAAAAATCCCAAAACAAAACAATACAAACCTTGGAAGGAAATGTGTCTTAAATTTGGTCTGGAACATCCTGGCTAAAATAACCAGTAGCAGTACTAATAAAACGCTGGTAGCAGTGAACGCCACTATTTTCCATGTTGTCAGGAGGGTCTCCTGTGTATTTGGCCAGGTTTGTTCTGTAACAAAAGGGCAACACAAAAGTTGTACTTGATTATTACTATTGTTATTTTGTATTAATACGTCAATACTTGGAAGTGTCAGTTAGGACAAGACATCTTTTATACTTATGTTGTAACAACACATGTGAGCCCAATGCCATCTACCAAATGCAACCTTAACATTAAGCTGCCAGAGGGGCTGGACCTTGCTTTTCCCCCTTGACTTTTTTTATATATGCAATCATGGCCTTAGCTGACATACACAGAAAAATATCCAGAAGATATTAAAAAATTTGAAGAGCTAACGATCGAAGTGGTTTAGGATCTTGGAAAGGTACTTATATTTAATAGCATCTTAAAATTAATGTTAATCACTTAACCATGAAACAGATGAAGTTCACTAGGCATTGCAGACCAACAAATTTGCTCTAAAAAGAGGCATTGTAAGAGGACAGGGGTAATGCCATTGCTGCTCCCTTACCTGTTTTGACACAGTATACTTGGTAGGAGGGGAACCACTCTCCATACTGGCAGGTGATGTACTTGTAGTCATTGGTGAGGGTGTAACCAGGATCACAGTAAAACTCCACAACCGTCCCATGGTTGTAACGCTCACAAGGCCGTGGGTGGCAGATGTAGTCTCCATGACTCACCATTGGAGGTAGTGGACAAACTTGGGCAAATAAAGAGAAAAGGAGAAAGGCATTAATGCCAGCAACCCACTGCTGGGTAGCTTCAGCGTGTCAAAATGCACAGGGCACCCTTCAGGGTCCCTGTCAGGCTCCCTGCAGTTCTGGTTTGTCTCAGCGGTACCAGACCACTGCTGCTCGGGGGCCAGGCACCCATCCACACCAGGGGATGGACCCACACACCTCCTGCGTGGCAACACTTGCTGGGGGGTCGCTTTCGTCTCTCAACACCACCAGCGAGTTCTGCTGTGACCTGCTTCCTTAAAGGCCTGAGAGATGGGATCTGGGAAGCTTCCCATCCTCTGGGGGAAGGGGAGGGCAAGAGGAAGACAAAGGGGACACATATGCCCTATAAGATGGCCATATGGGGATGGAGGGGGACAGTCAAAAGGAGGAGAACACCTCTTCTTATGAAGCATTCCAAATTCAGCTGTAACATCTTATTTTTTGTTTTGTTAACAAAATTAAATGGTTATATGCACTAATTAAATTCCTAAATATTCACTTTTAAAAATAAATTTGCCATCAGCTGTGCTGCAAGAGGTGCACAGCACGCAATGGTGCTTAAGCGCTTGCACTACTGCATTATCATTAAGGTGAGCTTAAACTCCACCGGTGTGGAGTTTATTTATTTGTGACTTGTTATCTCTGAGCAGCCTGACCGATCTCAGTGAGACCACTGGTGGAGTGAGGTCTTAAATATAACAGAGGCTGAGCCTGTGTGAATTAAGTACAGTGGTTTACATAAGGTTAGGTAAGTAAGAGAGAATTGCAATATAAACACGTGGAACTTCTGTTGTAGGCCCTGAAACGAAAAGAAATGTCCTCACACATGGCTGGGCAGATGAACTCAATAGAAAACAGAGGGAGCACTCTTCAAAAAACAGCAGTGGGGAAAGCAGCTCGCAAGCAGTATTTTTATAACACAGGAAACTTTTCCACTGAGTAAGTGTTAGTTGATTACTATTTTCTTAAGTGCTTTAACACAGAGGAAAAAAAAAACAACCCTACAAAGCGTAATGAAGTCTCAAATGGCTATGTACTGACCCAAAAAAGGCTTAAATTACTGGATGGTTTGTTTTATGTCCCTTCAGAGGCAGTAACTAACTGGCTCAGTGCCCCATCTACAGGCTGTTCCCTTCACTTTGTGCCTCCCTTATGCAGGCAAGACCTACTGCATTGATTTAAATAATGAAAATGCCATCTCTTGGAAGAAGAATCTTCCCAGAAATTAAAATTCAGCTGCTTCTCTCTGTGAATCTTGTTACATGAATAATGCATTTCATAAAAAAAATACACAAGATATTAAATGAATCTTCAAGAGAGGCTGATTACAATGTGCAGCAATGTCTATTCCTCATCCCCTGGAGACATGATTTTGTTTGCATTTTCACTGGCCAGGCTTAATAATAACTAGAAATCAGAGCAAGTGATTCAAATAAGAATTCACAATGGTCAATACTCTGCATACTTCCCAAAGTCTCTGGGCCCACAAGAAAGAGGAATGCTTTACTGGGAAGTCAACTCCAGACTGAAATCAATTTTCTTAAGACTAGGGCAAAGGTGTCAGACTGAAATAGTAGGAAAGCACCTTTTGTCCATATCAGGGATCATTCTTCTATTAAAAAGAAAACAATCAGTGAAAGCAACTATTCTGGCCTGCCAGAAGGAAACTGGGTATATTTTTATTATCTACACTTAAGAGCATGAGAACAAAGGAAGACAGCAATTTAAGCTTCTTTGCAACTGAGTTTTGCCAAGCTACGGCAGGCTGCAAGAGATATGTAGATGCCCAGTACCTTTCTAGCAATGAGCAAGTAGGGCACACCTTATCACAAAGAGCAATGCTCAGACAAACAAATTTTCCTCTCCAGCAATGTACCTGCTGCCTCTTCCCTAACCTCTTAATGTCATTAAGAGCCAAAGCAGCCTGCTGAATACAAAAAGCCTCAAAGTTGGTGTTGCAGCAATGTGGATCAGCTCAGGAATGACATATTTCCAGGCAAATTAGAAACAATACACTGTGGGGACAACCCAGATATGGAGCTGTCAGTCTGTTAACAAATGGAGATGTATTTTATAACACCTGAAAACAAGCGCATCACTGTGTAGGATATGTGCCCTCAGTGCTAAAAAAGAGTGCCACCCCTTCTACTAATACCTTCCATATTTCAAGGCAAATGCTTATGTATTGGTGCTGCCTGGAAACTTCTGCAAACATTTCTTTAATGCACTGCTGAGCGTTAGTCAGGAATTAAGAGTCAAGTTTTAAGCAGTTGTACCTGCCAACAGTGCTTGCATTGAATACTCTTACAACCAGCAGATGCAATGGAGTGGGTTTGAAAATCGAGGTGTTTAGCTCAATTGAATTTCATTCTTATGTCAGTTGGACTGTTAGAGTCAGGGGCTCTCACTCACTTGGGGTATCCCTCACCACCTTCTGTGTAGTTTATGTTCATCCAGTTTCAGGATCGCCCAGCATTTGCATGGGCAAACTGACCTCCACGTACAATCAGTAACACTCTTTGTCCAAACCAAGTCAAATGAGACACACCACAAATAACCAAAAATTAACCTTCTTTGAACTCTGGGCAGTTAGTCGTACACGCAGTCCCTTTCTCAACTCACTCCATTCCCACAGTCATCTTGGCCCAAGATTCTTTAAAGCCAGTGGAAAGACAGCCATGAAGTGGCCTTAGTTTTGATCATAGAAAAGCAAGAAAAGCAGAAAGTCTGGAGGGCTGATGAACACTCTTGGCTCCCAAAGACAGAAGATTTTTAGCGCAGAGCTAGTCATCTTGTAGGGTCAGATCCCTAATTTATGCTGGATACCAGTGTATGACATTGGTTACACAGATTAAAGGAATGTACCAGATCAAATATGGAGGAAAACTCAGGTGGCAAACCTAAGCCCATTGAAGTTTTCTAGGGAAGTTAAAATTCTAGCATTCCCAGTGATCGACCTTAACTGTATTTGGAAATTACAGGCCATGGACTTCAGGCAAATGAATCAAACTCACAGAATGAAAATAGCCACAAACTGATTAAAATAAAAGTGTGTCTGACAAGTACGTTTTCACTGTCAAAGCCAACAGCAGTATGAACAATAAATAATCATAGAAATAAGTGAATTCTACTTCATGAAGTTCTCACAGCTTAAAAAAGCCCTAGATGCTGTCCTCAGATATGATGCTGAATCTTTACTACTAAGAGCTTTCAGCATCTTCACTTTATAAGGCTTTTGAGACTTTAATGCACTAATCGCAACACCCAGCATGGGAAATGCAGTAGTATCTTCTGACGACCAACATTAAAAGACCACATGTGTGTATCCTTAACTTTGGAGCTTGTCAGAGAGATGGAGATAATTCAGGCAATGTCTGCTGGTGGTTCTGCAGCACATGATCCTGAGTCCACATCTGTCTTTGTAGAGCAATTTGCCACAGACCGTAAGGGGACTTACAAGAACTTTACAGCTGAGCATTCTCAGCTGAAAAGCTGAATCGTTCATCAAAAAGAAAGAGCAAGTGTGTTTATATAGCAAACAAATCCCTTCTGGGATGCTCAAGATGCCTGTTACTCAAAGAACTTGAAGGGAGGAATTCCTGATTTGATTTGATGGACTTCCCCACTGCTGGAGCTGAGGGCTCTCCTCTGAGATCAGCTATGGGCTTTCTGCTCTGACTGATTTTAATGACAGATTAGCACTCTCAGGAAGAGCTTAAAACCTGGGGAGTTGAGCCTTGTGTTACAAACACTGTCACATACTGACTTGGAGCAGAGGCAAAGGCAGGTCTGCCCCATGGCGTGCCCCCTCCATCGCAGCCTCCACAGTGCAACAGATGCATCTCTTGGACCAGGGTCACAGCAAGGGTGACACGGGCTGTGGGTGCTTACTGCCCAGACACTGGAGGAATAAATGGGGTTCACCCAAGAACTTTTCCTACCCATTAGGGTCAAAAAGTTTTTTAAACTCCGTCCAGAGGATGCTGCAGTAATTCTGCACTGTTGACACTGGAACTGTAGGAAGGAGGGAAGATTTTTTGGCATTAGCATATTCTTAGTTAACATTGATGCCACAGAATAAAGATGTCACATCGCTTTTTAAAAGCCACTGGTAGGTAACAGAGGAGTTACATATATTTACAGTGCTCAAAACCTTCTTTTTAGCCAATCAGTTCAATGGCTAGTCAGTTTAGTCTTTGGTCAAAGTAGGCGGGAGGTAAATTATTCAGGTTTTGTCCAGCTTTTGTACGTGAGCCAAAAAATAAAAGCAAAAATGTCTTGAAATACAGGGCACTTACTTATAATAAAGGGGTAGGAAAAAGCAAGAAAGTTATTTTCCATCTTTGATTTTTTGCATAGTATGCTGTTTTCTCTAGCTACTAGTCTGCCTTTCATGTAGGACATTAGTTGCTCAGTTAGCTGGGTTAGCAGAAATCCGCAGTGTAAGGCCAACAATTTTCTGTTTGATACAGGGATGGACAGGGTTAGTGACATTAGCACCTATTAAAAAATAACACTTCTTCCAAACACACCGTGAATGCCTGCTTATTATGCAAAGAGTGAGAAAAGATTAAGATGAAACTTCATGATGTGAAAGACATAGACAAAAACCTGCCAGTTCTAATGTGCGAGGAAAACACTGGTGTATCTCACTAGATAGTAATCAGAGAGGTGGACATGCTGTCTGGTTTGTGCACAAACTGGAAGAGAACAAGAGCTTCTCGTGACCCTCACTTGTCGTTCTTATACATATCAGGACACTAATTAACACCAGAAATCTGGACACCTGTCATCTGGCTACTGCATTCCAACCAATGTTAAATCTGAGCCATGATTTATTCCATGAGACCACAGCAGTATACACCCCAGCCAGTCTAGCTCTTCTTGTAACTATGCAACCATAGTTATGTTAATAGCTATGAGTTTGTAAAAAAACAACAAACAAAAAGAAAATAAACCAGTGGTGTTCAAAAAAAAGTAGCTGTTAGTTGTGGATTTTTAAACTCTAAAGACATTATACTGTTTAGAGGATTTACTG